CCCTTCCACACTCTGAAAAGCAATGGAAAAAATATCCTCAGGTAAGGATTTAAAAAAGGACTTTAGAACTGAGTCTTAAAGATACCGTAGGATTTCAGAAAGAGGAAATAGCATATGCAAATAATTGATGTATATTTGATTGAATGGTGTTTTTGTGAACCTACAAATATTTTAATGTTGCTGGAACCTCAGCTTCCAAGGAGAAAGTGGGAGCAGATGAGGTGAGAGAGAGAGAGAGGCAGAGGCCAGTCCAAAAACAGCCTCATAGGATGTGCTAACGATTTGATGTTTACCTGATAGGCCATGGAAAAGCAATAAAGACTTATTGAGGGGTTAATATGCTCATCTTTGCATTTTGNAGCAGAGGCCAGTCCAAAAACAGCCTCATTAGGATGTGCTAAGGATTTGATGTTTACCTGATAGGCCATGGAAAAGCAATAAAGACTTATTGAGGGGTTAATATGCTCATCTTTGCATTTTGAAATGTTTATTTTTTCTAAGGTTGTAGTCTTGCAGATGGAAAGGAAGGGACAGCTTTGAGAGCTATGAGTGCGTGCTTAGTCTGCCTTTAGAAAAGGCAAAATGACTGTCATTATCCTCTATATAAATTATTGATTTCAAAAACACATATGCTTTTAAACATTCTCTCTATGTTTATAAAATGTATTGCCTGATTTAGAATTCTCATATCTCACCACAAACCTTTGTTTTTCTTTTCAACCCACAACAAAGCCAGTTAAGAAAATCTATTTGATCTCCATCTTAGAAAACTTAATTCTTAGTAAGTGTGATGGTTTTGTGCACTCGGTGATGCACTGGTAAATGCTTAACAATCAGTTCTCCCAGAGGCAAAAGCCCTGGTCTGTAGTGTTGGCCAATTTCCAGGGTATAAATACTCCTACTGTAGCTAATTTCACGATATCAATGTGACATCACTGAATGAGAAGTTGGGGAGACATGTGAAATATTACAATGTTTGATAGTATTTCTATCATACAGATACAGTAGATGTGTGTAAGTCAAGAACAGAGAGAGTAAGTAGTAAAATAATTACTGCATATACTCCTCTTTCCCAAATAATTAAATTGATATTTACTCATCTGACTTGCACTGTTTCACATGAAGGTGGTAAAGTCTGTGCGTAAGGCACTAGAGGAAAAGCAGTGCCACCTGAAGAGTGATAGGATGTGTAAAATCAATGGGAAGCCAATTAAGACTTCTAATATCTACTGTACTTGGCAAACCTATTATCATATGGCCTTGCCAAAAAAACACAGACTATCCATTTCCTATGTAATATTGATAAAAATTATAAGTACGAATCAAAATTTTAAAAGAGTTTCTTTTAATTTGGCTAGTTCATATAGTAAATTATGTAAATAAAAATGAAATTGTTTAGCCCGGCCGGTGTGGCTCAGCAGCTGAGCATCGACCTATGATCCAGGAGATCGCAGCCTGACTCCTGGTCAGGGCATGTGCCCAAGTTGCAGGCTCAGGCTGCAGGCTTGATCAGGTAGGTTGCTGCCTACCTGAGCACGAACATGCACTGCAGGGCCCAACTGCACATCTTTAATTTTTTTCTTTTTGTCCCCACCCGAGGATATTTTTTCTATTGCTTTTTCAGAGAGAGTGAAAGGAGGGAGAGAGACAGAGAGAGAGAGAAACATCAGTGTGAGAGAGACATTGATTGGTTGCCTCCCACACCCGCCCCAACTGGGGCTGAGGATCAAACCTGCAACCAAGGTACGTGCCCTTGGCTAGAATCGAACCCAGAACCCTTCAGTCCTTGGGCCAACACTCTAACTACTGAGCCAAATGGGCTAGGGCAGAGTTAGGGGCTTTTTAACCAATAAAGCAATCTGGATTCCTTGCAATCAGCTATTACTTAGGATATGTAATGAGGATTTTCTGCTTAAACTCTACATTTGTTCCTAATCTGCCCACTTTCCACCAAGGTACGATAAATTTTGGTTCATAGAGCCTCACTGACTAATTTCCATCCTGAATGGGATACTGGGACTCTATGAGCCATTTAATAGTTGAAAAAACACCAGGACTTAACATTTACCTGCAATAAGGCTGCATAGGCTCATTAAACTCATTAAACTCATTATGCTTCTTTGCTTTCTTCAAGGATTATATCAAGTTATTGCAGTCACTAGTTATCTTAGGCATATTGGCTATTTATGCCATCATGGAACTTATTGGTAAAATACTGTTTTAAAGCATGGGACTCATGTTGGAGGAAACATAGTAATAAAAAAAAAACTCGCCCGGCCAGGCATGGCTCAGCGGTTAAGCGTCGACCTTGGATCCAAGCGATCAGGGTTCGATTCCCGGTCAGGGCACATGCCCGGGTTGCGGGCTGCAGCCGATCAATGACTCTCTCATCATTGATGTTTCTATCTCTTTCTCTCTCTCTGCTTTCCTCTCTCTGAAATCAATAAAGATATATTTTTTAAAAAATAAAAAATAAAATAAATAATTTTTTAAAAATCTCTTGCCCTGGCCGGTGTGGCTCAGTTGGTTGAGTGTTGTCCCATGCACTGAGAGGTCACTGGTTTGATTCCCAGTCAGGGCACATACCCAGGTTGCCAGCTCGAACCCCAGGAGGGAGGCTGCAGGAGGCAGCTGCTCTGTTTCTCTCTCATCAATATTTCCCTCTCTCCCTCTTCATTCCTTTCTCTAAAATCAATAAAAACAATATATTTTTTAAAAGATACCTAGTTCTGAAAAGCTTAGACATTCAAACTAGTTGATGAGTGTGTTATGCCTGAAACAAAAGAAACTAGGCTAGCTAATTGAGCAATGTTCTGCAGAAATGATTTATAGAACAAAATTTTCAGAAATTTCTACACAAATGTACATTTTTCTACAGAGAATAAGAATTTTGCAGATACATCTGCATCTCAAAAATAAATAGTTACATAGAAGACCATTTTAACTTTTCTATTTTATAAGAGATGCAATCACTAGGTGTTAAATCTTGGACTTCTGAGGATCAAGTGGAAAAGGTGGAATTGCATTTTGACCTTAATTTTAAATCAGGGTTTCAATGAACATTAAAAAGATGCAACACTTCATAATAGTCTCTTTTTAGTGTGTTTTTATACTCTCAAGGTGTGCCCCACAAGATATTCTGAAATTGTCCACTGTAATCTCAGGCTTTTATGTTGCATTTTCATAGGAGCCTAAAATAATTTGATGCATGACTTTTTCCTCCAGAGCTTCTTATATTTTACTAGTAAGCTATTTGTGTAACTTCTTTTATGAAGCTAGAAAGATTAATTTGTAATATGTTGCTCTTACAGAATTATGAAATTTCATGTTGCAAAACGGAAATTTAAAGAAACATTACGCCCATATGATGTAAAAGATGTCATTGAACAGTATTCTGCTGGTCACCTGGACATGTTGTGTAGAATTAAGAGCCTTCAAACACGGTGAGCAATGAAAATGTTATTTGTTGTAAAGGAAAGGCACAGAAACTATCTGGGAGGAACTCTGTAGAAGGGGAAACTCTTAAATTCCATAGTTCTAATTCATTTTTAGTGGACAGCTGGACCTTGCTTTTAGCATAGATTTTATATAAAGCTGTAAATCAGGTATTAAAAGTCTCCACTGATACAGCGTCTCAGTTTCCTCATCAGTAAAAATGGGGATAATGTTAGTGTTTGCCTCATAGGGTTGCTATGAGGATCAAATGAGTTAACACACTTTAAATGAGTGCTCAGTAAATGTTCATAGCTGTTCGGATGTCATCTGAATGATCACTGCTGCTGTTACTATTGTTTTGTTATTATTTAAATCCTAACCACCCTTCAGGAATAAACTAGTGTTCCTCTTTCATTAAACTTTACCTGACTATCCAGCCCACAAAGACAGACCTTTCCCTCATCGGACCCCCCAGAGCATTTAAAGTCCACTACGGAGATAAGAGCGCTCAGAATCTTGGTATACTGTGCCAGAGTCAAGACTGAAAATCACTGGCTGACTCTTGTATTGTTTCCTGGTTGCAAGTTTGTTCTCGTAGCTTGTGACTAAGACTGGGCCTTTCCCTTCCTTTGTGTCCTGTAAATGGTAGATATATACTGTCTTTCCAATGAGCATCTTATTGAGTGATTAAAAGAAATAAGTTTAACTGTTCTTTCAACTATACGTGTTTGTTTAATTGTGTTATCTTGAAGGCAAAATATTTAGTTAATTTAGTTTTTTAAGGATCTTGCTTCACTATAAGGGACAAATTACCAGTATTAGTGATTATATGTTCTTAAAACACAAGGACTGAGTTTGAAACATTTATTTATATGCCCACAGCACACATAGCCCAGGGTGAGGGATATACTAGACCCTTAGTAAAACACCTGTTGATTGGTTACAACCACCAAAAAAGTTACAATTTGTTCATTCATTCTTTCAACAGATAATTATTGAGCCTGTAATGTGTGCCACGTGCTGTGGCTATCCAGATATTAATAAAATAATGACCCTATCCTTTTGAGCTTGCAGTTTAATAGCTTAGAAGGTAGGCACTGCCTGTATTTCTGTGCAAACTAAACTGGAGAGTTGAGTCAGTACTCCTGGTAATTCAGCTCTAAAACACACAAAAAAGAAGAAAGTACTGTAATTCCCATTTAGGCTGATCAAGTCTCCTTGGAAATCATTATTACTCATCCTGTGGTCATGTTACAAGGTTTGCCTAGGTGGTAGCTGTCTTCCAAGTCCTTTAATAGAACTATCTGTGGTTCCCAAGGTTTTTAGCAAATTGAACTGCTACAGAATGTCCAGAACTAATTTAGAGTACCTAGCTCATGTAGAGTATATTTTCCAACTAGAATTCCAATAGCTTTCATATCTGCTTGGCTCCCACATATCAGCTGTACAATAACTGTTCACTAAAGAATATGTTAATATGAAATAATTATGATTTTGTTATGTTTTAAGTAGTTGAATTCAGAAAATACTTGATCAAAGGTGGAAACAGACAAATTGCTTTGTAACTTAAGGCAGTTTTGCCTCCAGATCGCCCATAGGTGATTTCATCATGGACCGAAATGAGAAAATTAATCTCATGTATAATTCTCATGTTAAGAAAATAAGCACATCAACTGGAACAAGTTCATTTTTATTTTATTTTACATACATTAAAGATAATTGTATTTAATTTTTCTTTTCAAAACACTCCATCTTTAGCACTCATAATCAGATGTCCTCTTTCTCTGATAGTGTTGATCAAATTCTTGGAAAAGGGCAAATCACATCAGATAAGAAGAGCCGAGAGAAAATAACAGCAGAACATGAGACCACAGATGACCTCAGTATGCTTGGCCGGGTGGTCAAGGTTGAAAAACAGGTACAACTGAACAATATTGGTTAAAATTTTAGCCATAATTTTTTTAAAGATTTTTTTATTGATTTCTTTTAGAGAGAGGAAGGGAGAGGTGGAAAGAGAGAGAAACATCAATGTGAGAGCAACACTTCAATCGCCTGCCTCCTGCACACACCCCACCGGGCATCGAGCCGAGACCCAGGCACGCGCCCTGACCTGGAATCAAAACAGCAACCCTTCAGTGCCAAGGATGACACCCAACCAACTGAGCCATACTGGCTAGGGTTGCCAGAATTTTTTTTTTTCATCAAAACTCGTTATAGGCAATTGGATGTGTTTTAGTGATTAATATGTCTTAAAAGTAAATCAAGAAATAAAATCAAGAAAGAGCAAATGAAATGAAATTTTCTAAACACTGAGACTTCCATATAAGGAATAGAAAGTTTAATCTCATCACGGGAAGCAATTGTAGAATTTCAACAGAANCACCCAGGCACGAGCCCTGACCTGGAATCAAAACAGCAACCCTTCAGTGCAAAGGATGACACCCAACCAACTGAGCCATACTGGCTAGGGTTGCCAGAATTTTTTTTTTTCATCAAAACTCGTTATAGGCAATTGGATGTGTTTTAGTGATTAATATGTCTTAAAAGTAAATCAAGAAATAAAATCAAGAAAGAGCAAATGAAATGAAATTTTCTAAACACTGAGACTTCCATATAAGGAATAGAAAGTTTAATCTCATCACGGGAAGCAATTGTAGAATTTCAACAGAAAGATTAAAAATATCTATTTTTTTATTTGTGTTTTGGTTATTTTCATTGTCTCTCTTTTAGGTCACTCTTAAAAACACTCATTATCACTAATATAGTACCTTGAATGTTTGTTAACCCTCAGGCTGTATCTCACATGAAGACCATTTTCCAGAAATCAAATTGCTCCCCCAATTTAATCATAAATATTTCAGTTATTAATTCTGAAGCATTTATGCCTTTATTTTTAAATTCAGAATCACCTAGATCGCTATTCGAGGTCTTGATTTTATTATAAAATACGTTCCTTACTGTACTGCAGCAGAGTTCCACAGAGAGGCTTAGGAAAGGCAACCAATTGGGCTGGGCAGTCTTGAAGTTGCATTTGTACAGTGATTATATGGTTTTTGAGAATATCAACTGTCCATTTTAGAGAACTGGGGGTGCCAGTGAAGATTACATAGAGGCCAAAGCATCCCTCTCCTCCTAAGTCTTCCCTTGACCCTTCCACTGCTAGTCATCACGTTCCAAAATGGTACTAAATGAAAAAGATTTTTAAGTTAAATAAAATGGTACTAAACATCAGGTGTGCATCATCTTTACACTCAATATTTTACTGTGTTGGAAACTCTGATTTCATTTTTTTAATTCTAGAAGTGAAGCCAATTGTTAACAGTTATGCTCATATGTAACCATTTTCCCCATTTTCAGGTGCAGTCCATTGAGTCCAAGCTGGACTGCCTGCTAGATATATATCAACAGGTCCTCCGGAAAGGCTCCGCCTCAGCCCTCACTTTGGCCTCATTCCAGATCCCACCTTTTGAATGTGAACAGACATCTGACTATCAAAGCCCCGTGGACAGCAAAGACCTGTCCAGCTCTGCACAGAACAGTGGCTGCTTAACCAGATCAGCCAGCGCCAACATCTCTCGAGGCCTGCAGTTCATTCTGACGCCAAATGAGTTCAGCGCTCAGACTTTCTACGCGCTTAGCCCTACTATGCACAGTCAAGCAACACAGGTGCCACTGAGTCAAAGCGATGGCCCCTCAGCGGCGGCCACCAACAACATTGCAAACCAAATAAACGCGGCACCTAAGCCAGCAGCCCCAACAACTTTACAGATCCCGCCTCCTCTCCCAGCCATCAAGCATCTGCCCAGGCCAGAGACCCTGCACCCGAACCCCGCAGGCTTACAGGAGAGCATTTCTGATGTCACCACCTGCCTTGTTGCCTCCAAGGAAAATGTTCAGGTTGCACAGTCAAACCTGACCAAGGACAGGTCTCTGAGGAAGAGCTTTGACATGGGAGGAGAAACTCTGTTGTCTGTCCACCCGGTGGCGCCCAAGGACTTAGGCAAATCTTTGTCTGTACAAAACCTGATCAGGTCCACAGAGGAACTGAATATACAGCTTTCAGGGAGTGAGTCAAGTGGCTCCAGAGGCAGCCAAGATTTTTACCCCAAATGGAGGGAATCCAAATTGTTTATAACTGATGAAGAGGTGGGTTCGGAAGAGACGGAGACAGACACTTTTGATGCCGTGCCGCAGCCTGCCAGGGAAACTGCTTTTGCGTCAGACTCTCTAAGGACTGGAAGGTCTCGATCATCTCAGAGCATTTGTAAGGCCGGAGAAAGTACAGATGCCCTCAGCTTGCCTCACGTCAAACTGAAATGAGTTCCTCGTCTTCTTTCTAGGCATAGCAGTTCCTTTAGCCATACATATCATTGCATGAACTATTCGAAAGCCCTTCTAAAGTTGAATTTGCAAGAATCGGGAAGAACATGAAAGGCAGTTCATAAGCCCATTATCTTTTAATTGCATGAAAATGCATGTTTAGGGATGGCTGAAATTCCAAGGTACATCAACATTAACCCACTCATTTAGTGCCGTACCTTGAGTTAATAATCCTGAGAAACCAAACATTGCTAATGCTGTGGGGTGTATGAAAATTAGGTTACTTAGAAGATTTGACTGTATTTTGAAATTACAGGAGTCAACACCTTTAAATTTCAGCCATTTCTGCTTTGCGATTAAATGCAAAATACATTTTCAGAATTAGGCCGTAATATGTATTTAAACACAATGGCGCTCATCAACAGCTGCTGACAAGGTACCAAGTGAAGCAGAATTGGGGACAGTAGAAATGGCTGCTTATTTCAAGAGCTATTTGCCGACCCATTCCTATTCAGTCATGTTATCATTAATGTAATTCGAATGTCGATGTGTGTGCTTTTGGTGATGTGACGCTGTGGCAAGCAATTTTGCACATTTTCATGTTGTTCTTTATGACAAGAATGTTCTTCAATTAGGAAACGTGCAAACCATGAAATAACAGGGCCAGTGGGGCAAATAGACTGACTCTTTGACACATTTGACTTCATGGAAACATATTCCCTAGTGGCTGAATCAACTTTATAAGTGGTCAACTTTCACAAACAAATAAAATACTGATCAGTAGGACGGCCAGTGTGATTGGGCTGCCCTCTCGGCAGTGTCGCCCACAGAGAGGGGAGGTGTGAGCTGTTCCCACTAAGCGGATACACAGGCAGGGTCCCAGGGCCTGAGACACGGGAGTGAGGCCGAGACGGCAAAGGCCTGAGAAGAGCCCAGACACAACCCAGGGAAGGGAAGTTCAAGAAAGTGACTTCCCCTCAAAGGGCAGTGAGAGGGAGAGAAACAAACCAAAAGAAAAGACCTCGGGTTTTTTAGAAAATGAATACTGCTAAGGAATTCAACTACCTAAAACATCATATTCTTATATAGAAACAGAGGATTTTGCAAAGTATTTATTTTTTAATATGCCCTGAATGTTTTTTGCTATTATGTAGGACATTTTGCATATGAAAGGCTAAAACTAAACCTCCTTTACTTTTTATACCTTAGTGAACATTTTCTATTCTCCCCAAGAATGTTGCCCCAAATCTGAAATTATTAGGTCAGTTTCCTGGTATAAACGTTTACAGTTAGAAACCAGGTAACACTGGCAGGGTCTGCAAATCAAAACACTTCATCATATAACATGACAGCAAAAAGCCCAAGAGACACAAAATAAAACATGTATTTAGCAGAAAGCAAACAATACTGACTGCTTGTTAGGAATCAGTCTAGTGATGTCAGGCGGGCAGAACTTCAGCCAAGGAATGGCCTTCAAAAGGCCAGGAGAAGCAACATAGCACTTCAATCCATTTCAACTGTAGCGGCAGGACCTTTTTAAAGTTTTCCCCCACCTTGGCAGATAGTGCTGTCTCCAGAAAAACTCCAGCAGCCCAGAAGAATGAGCAGGAATATCAGCTGGGTATCCAAAGGCAGGAGGACTGAAATCCACCAGTCCTCCCCAGCTCTCTCTCACACCTTTCTTTCCCCCCCACCCCCCGAATCTCTCCTTACTTTTCTTCCCGATTAACCGCTTGTCAATTCCCTGCCCCTCGTTTGCTTCTGAACTTCACCAGGCCTTAACCAGCCTCCATCCCCAAACGAACCACTTCTCCACTCTATCTAAAATGTGCTTCTCACCCTTTTAAAAATCTTTGTCCCTTTTGACTGACACTGAAATTTTGAAAGTTTCCTCTTCTCACCCACCCTGGAGTTCTAGCACATTCCCCTGGAGTATATCGCTCAGAATTTTCTTGGCTGCTGGAGACGCACAGAAAACAGTCTAATTTTATACTCCCTTTAAAAAGAATTTATCAAGCTTTTAAAGCAATTATTTGCATTTTTGAAACATAGAATCTTAGTAAATTATCAAATGCAATTCTTCATCTACCTATGTCTCCACCCAACCTGAAATTGTGATACATCCTCTGGAGAAGGTTGCACATGCACACACACACACACACACCTCCACTGTCCTAAAGCCAGACGCCTGCCATGCACTCAGAGGAAGAGGAAGGAGGCAGCAACTTTCAGGTAGCGCTGATTCTTGGACATACTCTGTCCTGGGTCAAACCCCACTGGCAGCAGGAATGTACTGGGAACCCCTCCCTAGGCCTCTTTAGGCTTCAAACAGCATTGCTGAAGACAGAAGATTCAGAAACAAAACCTACAAATATCACTGAGGTCTTAATTATAGCAAAATGCGATAAACTGTGTTCAGAAACTTATGCATTGAAGCCAAGACCATATTGTGTCTATCTTACTCTAGCACAAAAAAATTCTTGGATGTTCAAAGATAGTTGTACTGTATGGAAAACACAGGGTTCTGTTTGTTGAGTTTCTCCCTGGGGAGTTCAGAGGGGTCTCCCATTTACACCTAGCAATGTCCCATTGGTCGATCCCAAATGGTGTCTTGAAGCACAGTTTTAGCTGAGCACTGAGTAACCACATGCTTTCTCAGCTCAAGTCTGTCTGCCTTCTTCAACATGCAGGGCTGATCAAGCTAACACTTTAAAAATGTGCTGTGTCTGATCTAAATGTTTGCTTTGTGTTCAACTAAATTAATATCTGCAAGTTTTGTTTAAAGTAAGACACTTTATTGAGTTTTTAGGTTGTTATCTCCTGTTCAAAGGTGCCTTTCTCACCTCCTGTTGACTCGGTGATTTTGAAAGTTCTTAATTCACAGGTAAAACAAGTCTAATACAGAGGAGGACACCAGGCACAAAGTGACTAATTCTCATACCCATTTGCAAAGCAAAACTGTAAGAAATGACACATGAGCAATTAAATTAAAGGATCACTTCAGAAAATATAGTAAATATTACCTTATCTCCCCAGAAGCTGATTTTTTTTTTGCCTTAAAAAGACTTGGTTGTGTTTTTGTAAGAGAAAATTAATTTAATTAAGTGCATTTATGTGAGCAGTTCTAAAAGTCATGTACAAAAATGCAATTGTCTTTCCTGAAAACAAATAAATCAGGAATACCATATCCATTTCAAGCTACCATTAAAATGTAATTTCCTTTGCTCTCTTTTACTGGGATTATTTGTTTTAAAGTAAAACATTAAAAGATGTCTATAAAAAACTAATGTGACTGTTTTTATCTGGAACTAACTAGTGGGTTCTGAACTGACTGGTCCCAGTCATCCAAACTGACAGTATACAAATTTGGGGCTAAAATATTAAAATTATCCTTTTGCAGTGTTGCTGAAAAATAATTGGTAATTTGGGAGAGGAAGAGGTTTGAAATGTTTTTGAGTGTTTTGTAAGAAAAATAATTTTATATTGATTTGATTTCTTTTTAGTTTGATATATCAAAAATCAGATACCAGTGCATGTGAGCTTTGCATTAACTAAATAAAAGGGTTTGTGCCCAGCCGGGTGTGGCTCAGGGGTTGAGCATTGGCCTAGGATCCAAGAGATCTCGGTTCGATTCCCAGTCAGGGCACTTGCCCAGGTTGAGGGCTCGATCCCCAGTCAGGGGCGTGCAGGAGGCAACCGATCAATGACTCTCTCATCATTGATGTTTCAACTCTTTCTCTCCCTCTCTCTGAAATCAATAAAGATATATTTTTTTAAATAAACAAAATAAAAGGGTTTGTTAAGCAAGCGATAGGAAGTGGTGACCAGGCAGTGCCCAAATGCTGCAGCAACTGGCTACTCCAAATTACCATTTTTGTTGTTGTTATTCAAAATATTACAGATGTCCCTTTTTTCTCCCCATTGACCCCTTCCTCCCCACCCCACCCCCTCCCCAGTCCTTCACCACACCATTGTTTGTGTCCTTCGGTTATGCATATATGCATATAAATTCTTTGGTTAATCTCTCCCCACCCAC